AATAATATTTTTAGTTTTCAATAAACCTGTGTAGATATACATTTGTAAATCACTGTTTTCACCCGGCTGCTCAAGTGGCATCCACTTGTCTTTGCCCTTGGGCTGCGCCGGCATCTGCAAACGTGCCGCCCCTTGCCCGCTTATAATCTCATCTGTGACACTCGTTGAACTTGTCGCCATTTAGTTAAATCAACAAAAATAATTTTGTCCAGAGGAGGTCCTTCTGGCCACCAAAGGCACACCCCTCCCGGCCGACTATCTCATCTCGTCCACACATGCCCTCACATTCACGGCGTTCCGGGGAAGGATCACGTACTCCCGTCCGGACGGAAGTCGGAAGTCGGGTATATCTTGTCCGTAGCTCCTGCCACATTAACGTGACTTTTGCAGCGCCCAGTTTTATCAGCATAATTTAGTTTGTGCCCGGGCTCTGGACACTGGACTTCGGACATCGGACTTTGGACCCGTTCAGCTGCGGCCTGCGGTCCACTGCATTAGTTAGAGCGTCCTTTGTGCTAACTTACGGGGTTAGGCGGTTGAGGATATTAAATCGGCCCAGAAGGGCTTTAATTAAGCCGTCGCTGCTGCTGTCGCAAGTGAATTATTAAAGCCCTGCACGCTAGGTACGAAAAAAATATTAACAAATTTCCCTACATGCACAATTCTGTAATTCAGTTCCGCTGGCAGCCAAAAGTCGATTGGCTCGACCGCCCGCTGGGCTTAATCCACTGGAAAAAATAGCTATCTTTATGTAGAATATTCAATAGTGCTAAAAGATTGTCTTATAATTAGGACAGTGGTGACAAAATATTTGTATTCTTTCCCTTTAAACCTACCAATAATTGCAATTTATTTCCTACATTTATGTAGAAATCTTAAAAGCTGCTTATATATTTGTAAAATTTTTGTGATTTTTTTCCCGTGCCGTTAACCTTATGAGCCACTAGCAACAGGCAATCAACGGTTGGTAACTTTGTATTTTTGAAGTAGTTAATAAGTCCACCTGGCTGGCGAAGGGGTTTCGGGGGGCGGTGGGGAAATGCCAACAGCCATGCTAAATTGCAAAAAGAAATTTCGCTAAATATGCCAAGTTATGAACTCAATTGACGGCCTCTTTGGCAGTTGAGGAGTGCGCAAAAGTTGGTTAATAAAATCACAGCAGAGTGTTAATAGGGATTTTCATTGAGGGGAAAAGAAGACAGAGACAATGAGTGAAGAGGGCAAAAGGCAGTGACAACTATGATGAAATGGAAATGCGGCTCCTCTTGGCTTTGCAATAAAGTAGAAGAACGGGCAGCTATTCCCTGAGAGTCTCGGCACTTATCGAAGCAGAGTCGAAGTCTTGGTCCTGCACTTGGCAGTGCTGACCTCATAACGACCCTGCTTATTAAACGTTTGTCCTGCGGCCAAATCTTAGCGAGTCTCTGGCTGCACCTCCACTGCCATTTTCCGACCATTTTCCACCCGATTTTACGGCTCTGCCGCAACATGTTGGCAAGGCTAAAGCCAAAACTGTTGCGGATCGGCTTTCGCGTAATTAAAAATTGCGGCTAGCGTTGGCCAGCCGACCGTGCAACCGCCTCCAACTCTTAACGCTTTTCCACTTTCCCGCAGGAAAGGCAGCAAAATGGCTGGGCACAGGGGGTGGGGGATCGTCCTGCGGTGGGTCCTTTTCTGCTGATGCTGCCCTTAAATGCGCTTTTTAGTTTAGACCAACGTAAGAGGTTTTAGCTTGCAGCGGCTGCCACGCCCCCTCGTCCATACGCCACCCCTCCCCTGGTTTCAGCCACGTTGAATAATTTGCTGGCACACAGGAAACTAAACTAAAAAAAACATGGGGAACAAGAATAAAAAGAATATTTCAAATTAATTAACGCTAATGAAAATGTTTAAAACTTGAAAGTTGCAGTCACTCGGTTGCACTATGGGGAATTTGCCCGATTTTTTGGAATAAATTAATAACTCGCGAACTATGTAACATATTTCAGTGAGGTTTTTTTTATAGTGTTCTACATACCTATACACACCTGTTGGAAAAGTGAAAGTATCCCCCCCAAACCCAATTTTTTATATTTTTATAACAAATTTAGCTCTATATGCTCTTAATTTTTAATTTAAAAAAATCATAGTCGTTTTCTTTTTCATAATTATCAACATCTAGAGACTCGTCTCCAGGTTCATATTCGCATAATTACAATTAAATGACTTTTGGTGAAAGAGCAAGCAGCTCATGTTTTCGGACACGCTTCTTCAAATTCATTGATGAAATGATGGGGTCTGAAGTAACCACGGCTCTCTGAAAAACATCTGTAAAGTTGGAGATTCCACTGTGGGATCAACTTGCTTGCTAACAAAAGTGAATTCGCCATTTTTTTTTTCGAAGACCCTTTTGCTTATGCAAAACTTCCAGCAGGGCTGCGTTTTTGATCAAGAAATTGGTTTCTTAAAAATGAAATTACGCGAAAAGTCGCACGAAGCGCACGATGAGACAATATGTTCTGAATTCGCAATTAATCACTCTACAACATGGATAAAGACACTTACTGAACAAAGTTAAACATTTTTGTAAAACTCTATTGAAAGTTTAACTTTCTTTCCAAAACCCAAACGAAAACATCACCTGCTACATTTACAAATTGTTAAAATTGGACGCACATATTAAGCAATGTATAAGTATTTTTACACAGAACATACATTGAGAATTGGTAATAATTTCAAATTTGACTGTCTTACGTCATTTTGTTGCAGAGATAATGATTTGAAAGTGAGCTTCAAAGTTAAGCAAAATGTAAACAAACTATGTGCGCTTGCAACAGCTGACTTTAACAGTTGGTATTTAAATACTAGACTTTTAAGTTAACATTTGCGGTATGTTACCAAACAGCTTGATGTTTTCTTAATACATTACAAAAAAAAAAAAGGAAATCGGCACACTTTTAAAAAATACATTTATTCCAAAAAATCGGGCAAATTCCCCATAGTGGGTTGTGAGGGGATGAGGTGGAAGGGGAAAGGGCGTGGAGAGGGGCTGTTGGCCAAGGGGCAAGGACTGCAACTAACTTGGCTGTTTGCTTGCGCCTCAGTCAACTCGGCGAAACTAGGAACAGAAAACAAGTTTTCACTTCCGATGCTCCTCCTTCACAAGAATAAATAGTTGGTTTAAAATATAAAATCAAATAATATTAAAGAGAGCTAATGACTATGAAAATACTATTTAAAAAATTAAAATAGAACAAAAAAGTAGTTTGAACAAATGGAGTAAGAAAGCTTTTTTAAATGGTTATTATTTAACTTAAGTTTTATTATTTTATTTTTAATAAATTTTAGTTAGCCAATAAGTAAATGGGACATTTTATTAAGTTACGATATATACCTATGTATTGAAGTATAGCATCGAAGTATATTAAACTAACATAGGAAATATAATTTTCTAGACCTGTGCATTGAAACACAACATCGAAATATATTAAACTAATTTACGAAAATTAATTTTCTGAAAAGATTAACTCATTAATTTGCTAGCAAACCAATTTTATTTGAATTTTTTATTATATCTTCAGAGAATTTAAGCTTTAACCGCGATAAGTTTAACTGATATTAAACTACCTTTTTATGTAGACTGAATAACTAATTTTATTGTCAATAACAACATTTTTTCTCCTGTGCATCTCTACTTCGACTGCTTATTTTCCATCCACAAGCTGATAGTTTTCATTGGCGGGGGAAATGCAAACAAAGCTCTGTGGCAAACTTATTTGTTTTTACACGAATAGAAAACGTTGCGGCGACCCAACTGTTGCGCAATCGAACACAAAGCAATTTTAATAAATTTTATGGCACATTTATTTGCAAGGCACCTGGGACTCTTGGTTTTCCCCGCTCCGTTGCCCTCGAATTATTTGTCGAGTATATTCCACATTGCATTTCCTTTTATTAGAAAATGCTATAATAATTCTTAGCAAAGTTAAGTTTGCATTGTTGTGCAAACTGGGAAAACAAAAGCTTTGCGCGAAAGTTTCCTATTTTTTGAAGGAGGAGATGTAAGAGCTGAGGAAGTGGACATTGCACGAGGGTCATAAAAACAATGAGTAGAGTACGTATATATTTTATATACGCAATCTTCGTCTGGAAGTGCTGAGACTAGAACTCTTCTGACTAGAAATTGATACTAGCAAGTTTTCTTTCTTTCGGGAGACTTAAAAATAATTGGGCTGACAACTTGGCAACTTAAGAAATCAAATCAACCAGAATTTTTAGTTTAACATTATACCCTTGCAGAGGGTATTATAATATTAGTCAAAAGTGTGCAACGCAGTGAAGGAGACATCTCCGACCCTATATAGTATATATACTCGTGATCAGGATCGCCTCCTGAGTTGATATAAGCATGTCCGTCTGTCTGTCCGTCTGTCTGTTTATACGCGAACTAGTCTCTCAGTTTTAAAGCTATCAAATTGAAATTTTGCACACACCCTTCTGTGCACGTAGTATATATGTCGGAACGGCCGGGATCGGCCGACTATTTCCTATAGCTGCCATATAACTGAACGATCGGAAGTGCCATAACTATGGTGTTTTTAAAGTTAGAAAGTTGGTATTTTCTGTGGGTCTTATATTTGGCCAAATAAACCAGGCCTACCAAATTTCATAATTTTTTTTATTTTTGGGTCGGTTTTTCGTCATTTTTACAAAGAAACAGAAACTTTTCTTACAGAAATCGGATTTTTAAATGGCATATCTCTAAATGGTCCTGGTTTAATTCTCTAAAAATCTACAAATAGCTTACCAACCCTCTCCACTTATCCGTATTTATGTTCCTAAAATACGTAGATCAGATCTAAAATAATGTCAATCACTTCCATTTATCAAATATCCCATTTTATCAAATGAAAACAAATTAATACCAGACAGCATTAAGAGTACAGTATTTTTTATTTTGTTTTAATATTCAAATATTTCATACTTAAACAGTGCGACTCATAAGGGCTTGGGCCTTATCATCATTTCGACATCATTATCATCATTCCTTGACTACCGATGCCATCTCTGAAGTATTTTCCATTGAGCGTACTGTAATTTTAAGTAATTATAGTAAGAAGATTTAATAAGAGCATAAATAAACAGGTATACCTGTATGAACAGGCTTTGTGCCACCATGCACCGACTTCATTGGCACAATTTCTAGCTATATGATTGTCATTATCCCGATCAAATGTGGAGAACTTTTGGTTCTTATTAAATGTAAGGGAGTCTCCGGCTGCACCAGAATATTTCCCAAGATTCTTCAACTTGTAGTATTCCTCCTCACTCCCGATCATAAAGTCATCGTATTGAGCGTAGCTGGTGGATCCATCAACCTTTTCAAGTTTAATGTAGAGTTCGTGGGGTCGTGCCTCAGTCATCCGATGCAATTTTTCCAGCCCGATGAAGAATTCTCTACTGACATTCCCAAATCCAGATTTATATTCATTCCAGGTACGATTGAAGTTCTCGGATCCGTCAATGCGTCTCTGAATTACAGTCCAACCAGAGGAAGACGACACACATGGCACTTTAAAGGGTTCAAGTCCCCGAAGCTTTATTTGGTAAATCCCATTGGGACTGTCACTGGGACAAGAGTCAGGTAAATTGTCATCAGTTTTCTGCAATTCAGAAAGCTGACTAGATAGTTCTGATTTTCTTTTCTCAATCGCTTTAATTTGAGTCGTAAGTGTCGAGATTTGTTCATCTCTATTTTTAAGGTGCTCCTCTTTCACCTTTAAAATATCTTCTTTGCTTTTGATTTGACCTTCGAATATTTTAAACTTACTCTGCAAGTCTTTTATATCGTCTTTTAATATTTACTTGGGTTTTGAGTTCATCGTTGGCATCGACTACTATTTTAATCTATACAAAATGATTTAGAACAGGCGATAAAATAAAAATCATTGCATTCGTTTTCAATATTTAAATTAGTTGGTTACTGCAATAAATCTTAATTGAGCTTACAAAAGAAAGTATTGATAACATTGTCAGCGTCGATTCAAAACTAACTGAACAAAATTTGTAACGAACTTTCGTTGCAGTAGTATAATACTAATAATAATTTTCTAAAAAACTGTTAGAATTGTTTTTTTTTATACCCTTGCAGAGGGTATTATAATTTCAGTCAAAAGTTTGCAACGCAGTGAAGGAGACATTTCCGACCCTATAAAGTATATATATTCTTGATCAGCATCACCAGGAGAGTCGATCTAGCAATGTCCGTCTGTCCGTCCGTCTGTCCGTCTGTCCGTCCGTCCGTTTCTACGCAAACTAGTCCCTCAGTTTTAAAGCTATCTGCTTGAAACTTTCCCAAAAGTTGTCTTTCTATTGCAGGTAGTATATAAGTCGGAACGAACCGGATCGGGCCACTATATCATATAGCTGCCATATAACTGAACGATCGGAAATGCCATAACTTTGGTGTTTTTAAAGTTAGGAAGTTGAGATTTTCGATGGGTTTTATTTTTGGCCAATCAGTCTGACCTACCAAATTTCATAAGGATCGGTCGTTTATATCCTATAGCCGCCATATAACTGCTTGATCGGAAATGCCATAACTTTGGTGTTTTTAAAGTTAGGAAGTTGGGATTTTTTATGAGTATTAAGAATGCATCATATGAATAACCGATCCGATTTTGGAGAATATAATTTACAGAATATTGCAAAGTTAAGTTGTAGCCCTTAAAATAAAAATAAAATATAAAAACATTTCGAAGTATTTTTCCTAAAATTAATACAATTATTTATAATTGGCTTTGGTCAAAAAAGTTAAATTAATAATAAAGGGTTCAAACAATGTTTATTCAAAGCAGGGTTTACATTTCAGTTTGATTTTGTTGCTCATTTTAATGGGACCATTAATGTCATGACCCAGGATAAAGTGTTTTGGCTCATATAACAAAATTTGAAGACAGCTCACTACCTATTCTTATTTAGACATCAAAAGGATACTTACACAGAGCACCTAATCCTTCAAGTTCAGCCATAAGCAGGACTTGAAGTGCGTGTTGTTTTGCCGGCCAGTTGCAGTCAGGTTGCCAAGCTGCTGGTTTTGTTTGGCTGAGATGTCTGAACTCTGATGCCTGCGGTGGTGACAGTTAAAATGGCGTTCCGCCAGCTCGGAAAACCAAATAAATGCCCTGGAAACTCATGCAACACCTGCAGGTATCGTTGCATAAGCTTCCTTGCCAAATCATAGTTCTGATTATACAAATCCTAGAATATATTACCCAAAATATGGAGTTGCCTTTATAAAAATCAAGTCTTTTTGCAGTCATTTTAATTTATTTATATGTTTTATTTTAGATCTTTTTCTAAAAGTTAATTTTGGTAAATTAAATAAAGATTCTGAAGTACATGAAAGCCAAAAATAAAAAAACGGTTTTGGGTCTTATTTAAAATAGTTTAAATTTTAAAAAATCCTGGGGGAAATATCCAAATCAGCTTGTCATCAAATGTACCATCCATTAAGATTCAAATTAATTTTTTTTAATACCTACCAATTTGGGTTTTTATCTTTTATTATTTTTTGCGGAATTAAACGTTTGTGTTTAAGGTTTAATATTTTAAAATGAAACGCCACTGTGCATCGTTTCTTTTTGGGTAAACAATGCACTTTGCCAGGGCTAATGGGCTTGTCACTGTCCGCCGGAGGCTGCCAGCTGTTTTCACATTTTTCCCCAAACAAATGCATACACCAGGCACCGGCAGCACAGCAGCAGCACCAGCACCATAATCAAGTAATTGTTGGCGGTGCACCTGCCCTCCGAATATCGCGCATACGCCGCGTGATACCGCACTGGAAATAAAGGATCCGGATTAGGCTTTATTTCTTGCTAGCTGGTCGTTCGGTTGATTTAGTGCCCCCGCTTAGAGGGCCCGACAATTGTGAGCGACGCAACCGCTGACACTTAACTGTGAAAAATTGTGAATTATTATGGCAGTTTCCCCAAGCCCCCATTTTCCCTTTCGTATTTTTGTAGGCAGGCGCCAGTCGGTGTTCTTTGGGATTTCCTTTGGCTGTTTATGGCTGCGATTTGTTACGCACAATGGTGCGTGTTGGCCACAAGCATTTCATGGGCTACGGGGAAACCACAACAATCACAAGTGAACGACCATATTCGATAGGTCGGAGATTCTAATACCCTCATGGAGCTATTTGATTTATGGCTAGATAATAAAATGCATTAAAATTTAATTGAGAGAAGCCACAGCGCCAAATATTAGATTGCATTAAATACTATTTTATTAAGTGTAGCAAATGCAGCTAAAATAGACAAATTAAATAAGGTTTTCTTACTATGACTTAAAGGGAAAAAAGGTTGAGAGAATCTTTTCAAAATAACTTGAAACAAACTTTAGTCAATAAAGTACATTGCTTAAAAGATACAAAATTGAAAAATATTGACGTTTTTATTAAAATTGAGTCTTAGCCAAAGTAAATCATAACAATTCCCAATATTAAACCTTCAGAGATTCTGACACTTTGTGATTTCCAGACCTGTTCTGCAGTCATAAATTTGACATTTTATGAAGTGACAACTTAGAAAGATTTTCAAACTAATCGAGTATAAAATGTTCGAATTTGGATAACGTCAGGATGCTAAAGTTTTTTAATAGAATCAATGATTTCTACGCTATGACTAGCCAACTTCTGGCCAAAAATTAAATAACCCTCGGCAAGGGAAAACAATCTAATGAGAGAGGGGGGAGGAGCACCCATTCGCTGACTGGTAACTTGTAACTGGCAAATGGTAACTGGCAGTCAGGTGGGTTGAAAGGCCAGCAGGCAGTCCCGGGTAAACAAATAATTCAAAGTCATTTGTGCCATGACTTGGCTCCAGTTGCCAGCTGCTCCTCGTTTGCTAAGCCGGGACGTCCTGGAGGGAGCTGGCCAAGTGTGAAAAAAGTGTCAACGCTTTTTGCCATGTCGGGGTGATTATGACACTAAAGAGGGGCTCTGATCTGGGGAAAGACTCTAAGCAATTGCCCAGGTCGTGCGTTTTGACTGTTTCCCAGCTCCGTTCCTATTTGCGTTTGTGTTTCTGCATTCGGTTGTGGTTGTCCCGGAAAATAACCGGATTTATTTGGCCTATTTGGCTACTTGGCATGGGATCTTTTCTGGTGCTGATTGGAGAGCTTAGCCAAGAATTAGGGTTTATTTTGGAGTATCTATCAAGTTTTATAACTGCATGATTGGTAACAACTCTCATGGCTTAAGGCTGGGAGAAAATTTCTGGAAACTTCCGACAATTATAACTGAAAATTATTGACAACCTAAAAAGCTGCCATTTTAATTTGATTTGATTTTTGAACCCTTATATATACATATTTGAATTAAAATTTAGTGACTATAAAGCAATGAATAAAATTTGATGTCCATTTTATCCTTAAAAAAATTGCTTTATTAATCTCTAAATTGTAATTCATATATATTATGTGTTAAGTGCGAATTTAAAGAGTTATTAAAATATTTAAAAATAAAAAACCATTCCGCATTGAATCTTTTGCATCCAAGTGCTTTATATATTTTAGCTGCCCTTGCAGTTTATTTTAAATTTCCTTGCCCCTTTAAAATGGACGACCTCGCTACACTGGCACACCCATTGGCACCGTTTTAGACATAAACAGTGTTTACCTTAAAAAATGGTTCAAGCCACCTTTCGTGTTTTAGCTTCTTTTGCACCTCGTCGCCGAGTCCTTTATCCCTTCCTCGTCCTTCTGCCCCATTTCCCCTTTCTATTTCCTTTCCGTTTTCTAGGCGCCTCCGCATGCTGTTGGCCTGGGCAAACAAAAAATCTCATTAATCCATTAAGTATACGCCAAGAAAAAGTTCAAAGCGTCTGCTCTCACACACACACACACACACACACATTCTCAAGTCGACAAGGACACTTCTCAGCTACCGTATGTATTATAGTAATGTTAGTGGGCCTGCGAGTGTGGGCGTAAGTTTGTGTTCAGTGTGAAAGAAAGCCTTTTGGGAGCACTAATGAGTTTGACATTGTTTCCTCCTAACAAGCAGCAAAGTTGGCCCGAAAAGAGGGGCTGTTTCGGGGGGTCGAAGAGGTCCAAAATCAGAGGAAGTCGACTGCATCGCCAGACATTTTACCTTGGAATCTTTTCGGGGTTTCTATTACGATTTCCGAGACGGAGACTCTGCAGAGTCCCCCAAATGAATTTCATTCCATTTTCCACATCTTCAGCTTCTACTTACGCTTTTTCCACTAATTAAAACCGTGTTGATAGCCGTTTTCAATTTGGCTTCCGGCTGAAGCTTAAAGTCCATTGGTTCTGAAGAAAGTTAGTTTAGTTCCTAAGTAGTTTGTTTATCCACTGTTTTTTAAACAATTTTAAAAGCAGCTTATTTAAATAAAAA